AGGGAGCCCGATGTGGGACTCGATCCCAGGACCCTGGGATCATGACCTGAGCCGAAGGCAGTCGCTTAACCAACTGAGCCACCCAGGCGCCCTGATTACTTTTTTTTTTTTTAATGAAGAACTAAGGCCTGTTTTTTGAGTTCTCTGATTGGAGTTTAACTTTAGATCTCTTGCATCCCCATAAACTATCATTTCATTTCATTTTCCTTAAAGAGCAGCGGGAACTTAGCCATTTGCAAAGCCATCTGCCAGCAAAGCCTTACAGATTTTTATGATTCCCCTCCACCCAAGGACTTTTATAATTGTCTGTTCCTACTAACTTGACAATAATTGTTTTTAAGCAGTTATCTTTATCAAAGCTTTTCCAAAACAATCTAGTTTTTATAGAAAAAACTCTCTTTTATTCTTATATTTCACTTATATTTCATTTTACATAATGTTAAATTATATCAAGTATTTTTAAGGCTTGCCTGTTGATAAGCTTCTGTGCACTTTTCTACATTTGGCTTATACTTTAATAAAATGTTAATCTAAACAGCAGTTAAGCATTTATGGTGCTATATTTGAAAATGTGGGTAGGGTATGACTCCTGGGATACTGGGGATATGGGAAGGTATGGAAAGGAGAGGCCCAGTGGGGAGTACTCCTGATAATTGACAACTCACTTTCTCACATAGTACAGTTGAATGGACAGATCCAGCCTTGTTTTATCTGCCTCTTCTGTTTTTGGTTCCAGGGTCTGTTGGGATGGTATATGGTGAAAAGTGGATTAGAAGAAAAACCAGACTCCCATGACATCCCTCGGGTCAGTCAGTACCGCCTCGCTGCCCACCTGGGATCAGCCCTTGTTCTTTATTGTGCCAGCGTGTGGACTTCACTCTCACTGCTGCTCCCTCAGCACAAGGTAAAAGTCAGTCTGTATTGTTAGTGTATCTGCACGGATGCTGACAGGGTCAAAGGAACAGAAATTCTGTTTCTAATGGGAAATTATAAATCAAAATGCACACACATTCCCTTAGTTACACCTACCAGTTTACCAGAAATTAGATAAAACCAAAGATGACAGAAACATTGAACTTTGAGACTCTGGAAAGCTTTGGAACTGCAAAGTAAAATGTGCCATTATTCTTTTGAGCTGGAGCAACTCATTCAAAGGAAAATTAGTACAGGAGCCAAATACTCTATCAGCATTGCCTGTTGGGAAAAGTGAAAACACAAATTTCAGGAATGGTGGGAAGGGGTTGCAGCAAGAGCAATCCCAACCATTTCTGACTCCCAGAGGGATGGTGGATGGCGAGGTGAGGAAGGCCAGAATGAGAGCTGTTGCTGGACCTTTGATGGTAAACAAGAGCCATGAGAGTTGTTTGTTCTTTAGATGGGGACCTACCATCATCACGTCTGACAAGTCTGATCTTGTGATCTTAGTGATCTTGCCTGAAAGTATTTCCCTTTATGCTGATTAAAGGAAAATACTAGTTTTTCTAAAAATGAGTATTATTTTAGGTATTAAAGTCATGGTTGACTTGGGTAACCTGTTGATGGAATGAAGTTTGAGATGACAGTAGGACTTTTAAGTAGAATTATCCGATAGGTACTTGGAATCAGTAGCCTCAATTCCAATAAGGAAAGGAGTTGTGGATTTGGCAGTCATCCCCACAGGGAAGCCAGATGGGGTCGAAACATTGGTATAGTAGACAGTCTACATCGGAATAATTCTTGTTCTCTGAATTGCCTACAGCTGTAACTGTACTTGCTGATAACCACTCTTTCTTTTTAATTCTTGTCATCTGGCACTCCCACCCATCCACCTCTGTACATACGCACCCAAGCGTTCACCCACATGCCTGCACAAATACCCACACACTCCTAAACACTCTCTACGGGAAATGGTGCTCTGAAAGGTTGCCGATGACTTTTTAATTATCAACGGTTTTTCTCTTTTTATTTATTTATATTCCACCAATTGCAGAAGGGATTTGAGATGATAGTCAAACATGTAGTGCTAGTCTGTCCAACACAGTATCTACTAGTCACATGTGGCTATTTAAATTTTAATTAAAATTAAATAAAATTAAGCGTACTTTTAAAAAGCTGTTTACTTAAAGTTTAAATAAAATTAAGTTTTTATTTAGTTTTCAGGTGCTGTGGCCTCATTTCAGGTCCTCATTAGCCACGTATTGGCCAGTGCAGATAATAGAACATTTCCATCATCACAGAAAGTTCTGTTGGACAGCACTGATATACAGTCCTATGATATCTTAGTGATGATACCTCACTCTTCATATACTAGATTATAGACCATTTAAGGGCAGCACTGTGATTAACTCCTTTGTATCTTTATGGTAATCTGTTTATAAAATTCTTAATAAATATTTGTTGATTCACTGATTAGTATCAGAAGTTGGCTATAGTAAAAATAAAATTTTTATCTTACCAAGACACTAAATGCAAGAATCCCTACCTTAGTGATTTTTTAAGATTTATTTATTTGAGAGAGAGAGTATGCACAGTGGGGAAGGGCGGAGGGAGACAGAGAGCCTCAAACAGGCTCTGGGCTGAGCATGGAGCCCAACGCAGGGCTTGATCTCACGACCTGAGATTACTACCTGAGCCAAAACCAAGAGTTGGACGCTTAACCGACTGTGCCAACCAGGCGCCCCTCTACTTTAGGGATTTTATACAGTTTTGATTCTGACTATATTTGCTAAACACAAAATATCACAAACGACATGAAAATCTAGTCCTGTATCTTAAGCCACATCCTTTCAACCATGGTGAAGCATTTTTCCCTTGAATGATGCAAATCATTATTGAACAGATATGTGTTGAGTACTTACATACTAAGCACTGGGCTAGGATTACTTCACTAAGCAAGACAGATGGCAGTTCCTGCCTTCACAAGACTTACAGGAAAGCAGGGAAGACGGACAGTAAATATATAAATGTTGTAAAATGTGATGCATGTTAGACCAGAATATCTGCTGGGAGTGCTTAACCCATTTAGAGGGTCAGAAAAGATCTGATTGTTACTTGGGTTTGGCCTTGGAGATCTTTGCTGCCTCCCTTAGTTCCTGCAGTACAGTGTATCTGAATGGTTTTCTTTTCTTCTTTAGTTGCCTGAAACTCGTCAGCTCCTGTGGTTGAGACGATGTGCTCACGGAACAGCAGGCCTTGTGTTCCTTACTGCTCTCTCAGGTAGGACTCTTCTCGTCTAGCGTGTTTAGTTTTGTTCCACCCTCAGGCGGAGGGGGGGGTTCTCTTGCCAAACACTTTGTCCTTTCCTCCTGCACCTTCATATTTCCCTATCACATCTGCCTCTCTCATACCCACTGTCTTCATTCTCTGTTTTCTATTCCTTCCTCCCTTCCAAAAACTCTGCTTTCCAGTCGTTTGAACACAATTATTGAACATTTATCGGGATCCAGACTGCCTAGGTTCAAATCCTGGCTTTACCACCTATGAACTCTCTGACCTTGGGCAAGCTGTATAACCTCCTGGGCCTCAGTGACCTCATTTGTAAAATGGGGATGATGGTAATAGTATGAGTGATACATGTGAAGTGCTTAGAACAGTACCTGGCATGTAGCAGAGGCTAGGTGCAAATCAGAGAAAAGTCCTTTCCTCAAAGATGGTCTAAGATGAGCTCATTGGGGCAAAGGGACTGACACAGGACTTTTTCATTCTTTAAATCACACCTCTACCCTACCTCTCTCACTCGAGAACTGTACCATCCAATACATTAATCACTAGCCTCATGTGACTATTTAAGCTTAATTAAAATTAAATAAGATTTAAAATTTAGTTCCTCAGTCACACTAGCCACATTTCAAGTACTCAGTAGCCACATGTGGCTAGCAGCTATTGTGTTGGCTGGCAGACAGAGAACATTTCCATCAGCACGGAAAGTCTTGTTGAGTAGCACTGCTCTAAAGAAAATCATCAAACCAGTGATTCACCTCCCCCCCCTTTTTGGTGGAAGAACATGAATTTTGACTTTATAAATGCTATTTATATAAACAAGGAATGTGATCTAAACATCCCTGAGTCGTATTTGCTCATAAATAATGGATCAGTCATCCATTAACTCGTGGATACTTTATGTGTTTATCCAGGATTTAGTTTATAAATTTTTTCACTTCTGTGTTCACTCAACAAACATTTTTTTGAGCACTTGGGGAAGACAGATAATAAACAATGAAAACATATGGCAGATGGTGTTCAGTGCTGTGGAAAAAATAAAGCAGGATAAGGGGATAAAGGTGGGTTTGGGGAAGTGCTGTCTTACACAGGACCATTGGGGAGATCTCTTTGATAAGGTGAGTGGAGACCTGAGGAAATGAAGGAGTAAATTATGCAGATATCTGGGGGAAGAACATTTCCAGAATAGATCGAGTTCATAGTGGGATAAGGAGGGCATCAAAATCACTAAGGGAATGTTTCCATCCAATGTGCCTTGTTCTAGAGCTTCTAGTTCACTCCTTTATGGGAGAAATGCCAGAATCTTGGGGTGGGAGAAGGTGAGGATGCACTTGTGTTGTGGTGGTTTTTTTTTCTTTTTAAGTTCCCATGGTGATGATGATGTATATTCTCTGAGAACCCCTCCTGTAGATCTTTTTATTCTCTGACTATTCCTTTTGTCTAACTCTGGGATAATAGACTTTTTCTATGTCAGAACTAGTATTTGAGGGACGCCTGGGTGGCTCAGTCCGTGGAGCGTCTGCCTTCGGCTCAGGTCATGATCCTTGGGGTCCTGGGATCGAGCCCTGCGTCAGGATCCCTGCTCAGCGGGGAGCCTGCTTCTCCCTCTCACTCTGACTGCAGCTCTGCCTACTTGTGTGCTCTCTATCTCTCTGTCAAGTGGATGGATAAAATCTTAAAAAAAAAAAAAGAACTAGTATTTGAGCTCTTTTCTACCTCATTTTAATAAATACCATTTTCCTTGGAATATAGGGGCTTTTGTGGCAGGACTGGATGCTGGGCTTGTTTACAACTCTTTCCCAAAGATGGGAGAATCTTGGATCCCAGAGGATCTCTTTACCTTCTCCCCCATCCTGAGGAATGTTTTTGAGAATCCCACCATGGTGCAGTTTGATCACCGGATTCTGGTAAGTCTGGCTGGTGGTTACCGGCTGCTGAGCACAGAGAGCCTCTCACAGGCTTTGGGGCGTCTGAAGCACTGAAGGCAGCACCGAGAGAGGGTAGAGCAGAGTGGGCACTAGACTTCCTTTGCTTTTTCAAAGAAATTTAGCACCAGTTCTCTGATGAGATGTTTTTGTCCTAATCACCCACACCCGTTCTAGCCAAATTCTGGCTTTCGGGATACTGCTGTCTTCTTGAAGTTCAAATGTGCCTTTTACCATCTGGCAAAGGATAACTTCCCTCAATCCTGCACACACATAGGAGAGTCATTTTAGTGGAAATGAGGCTGAGTACAGAAGAGGGGGCACGGACAGTGGTTGCTGAACACATAATTGTCAGAGCTGACCCAAAACCCCAGGGAGCTAAGAGCATCATAAATCAATTATGATTTATATGATCAGTCAGTATTTCTCATCTTATTTAAGCTGATGTTTATTAAGGACCTGCCGGGGTCATGTTACGATTGGCTTGGTAGCCTGGGCATGATGCAGTGGAGCAGGGAAAGACACAGCAAGGAGGCCAGCAGGAAGCAGAGGGGCCACTGCAGTAATACAGGTGAGAGTGGTGGGGCTCTAGGCTGCATGGAGGAGCAGGACTTGAAGAGAATGGTGGGTCACAGAGAGGCTCTAAGGAGTAGAAGGTTGGCTATAGGCATGAAGGTGAAGAAGATCCCAAAGTTTGTTCTGTGGCATGCTTAAGACTCACCCGGATATGGGACTATTGAAATGAGTGTTGGGCTGGAGACGGAGGATGTCATCAGATTGAGGTGTGTTGGGTGTGAGATGATTGAAGCACGCCCAAGACAGGTCCATCCAGAGGCCTCAGATCCCCAAAGGCAACACGGGCGCTTGGGCCAGTTACCTTGTGGGGGCTTAGGCCCCTCCACCAACCACATTTTGTAACAAGTAAAGTCTGGTTGAAATTGTCATCATGGACAGCTCTGAAAAGGAAAAGTGAAATAGAGGCAGAAAATGATAGGAAAACAATCTCCTTGACATCATGGAAGTGGGGCGAGGAGATCCTATTGCCAGTGGGGGGGAAATGGAAATTAGACTTTAGGTTGTTCTCAGCACGAGCTGCCGGGACCACTACCTCCTCTACTGACAGCCCAGGAAAATAATAACCCTCACGTGCTGGGGTCAGCCCTGCTTTAGAGCTGCAGGATTAGAGAGGAGGTAAAATGAGGCATTAGGATGCAAAGAGTGATTTAAAACGTGAGGGCCGCACCTGGCGGGGGTGGTGCACCCACGTGAGAAGAGCCGGCAATAGGTGCAGAAACCGCAGGTAGAGCCCCGGGGGACACAAGCATTTAAGTGGCAAGCAGAGGAGCTGGAGGAGGCTGAGGGGTAATCATAGAGGAGCCACAGACGGCTCTCCGTGTCTGGGACAAGAAGCCTTCGTGGTTACTCACTGGTTCTAGAGGAGAGAGGTATCAGATGAGCAGAAACCAGGAGGGTGGAACATTTCTTCCTGGCACTCGAGGAGATGCCTTCCTCCCTGCAGGGAATCACTTCAGTTACAGCTGTGACAGTGCTCTATTTCCTCTCCCGGAGAATGCCCCTTCCTCGAAGGACCAAGATGGCCGCAGCGACTCTGCTAGCTTTGGCATATACACAGGTAGTTTCAATATTTGTAATATTGATTATATCTTTATATATCCTAATAAATTTTATGTATTATTAATTTTATTTAAGATTTTATCTTAATGAAGAATAATCGGAAAATAAAATGAGGATATCAGTATACACAAGTTCTCACAAGAGGAACAGTGAATGGCCAATAAATATGAAAAGCTCTTTAGCCTCACTCATTATCAGAGGAGCAAATTAAAACAGTGCATGCCATTTTGTGCCTGTCAGATTGGGGGGAAAGTTTTTTTAAAAGATAATCAGGTATTGGCATGGGCTTAGGAAAATGGATACCTTCATATATTCTTGGTGAGAGCATGAGTGGGTATAATTTTTTTCAGAGGGCAGTTTGGCAATAGCTTTTAAAATGTTAAATATATAATCCTTTGATCCAACAAACTGACTTCTAAGTGCCTGCCCTAGAAATATTCTAAGGCACACTGTGTACAAAGTAATTCATGATACAATTGCTGTGATAGTAAAAAAAACTGGAAACAACCTGAATAAACAACTATGGTACACATGTACTGTGTAATACTGTGTAGCAGTTAAAAATAATATCTCAAGATATATATTAAGTGAAAAAAAAAGTGACAGAACAATCCCATTTTTAAAAGCACAAAAGTATGTTTCTCTATAAACATAGATACAAAAGTACAAGTGTATAGAAAGTGTCTTTGCGGAGGGTAGTTGGGCTAGGATGAAGGATAATTAAAGAGAATTTTAGGTTTATCTATTTTGTTTGAATTTCCTCTGCTGCGAGTATATTTACTTCTGAAAATTTTAAAATACATATTTTTAATGCTTTGATGGGAGAATGTGGAGGTTTATGTATCTGGTTATCCATGCCCAGTCATTTCAGTTCTGAATTTGTGGTTCCTGCTTTTTTGACTGCGTTCTTTCCTCTGTAACAGGTGGGCTTAGGCATTAGCACTCTGCTGATGTACGTTCCAACTCCTTTGGCTGCCACTCACCAGTCGGGCTCCCTGGCTCTGCTCAGTGTTGCCCTTTGGCTCATGAGTGAACTCCGAAGAGTCCCAAAATAATTCTCAGAGGATCAGCTTCCTAGGAGTGAAAGTGCTTTTGAGAGCTCATCAGAGAGCACAAGAACTTGGGAGTCTTCTAAAAGGATGACCTTGGCATACCAAGTGGTTTCCAAATTGGTCAAGTTATTTAAAATTCTTTGTCTGTTTTTGACAAAGTCACTGGATCAGGAGTGTCATTAAGTATGTTTAACTAAAGAATCCTTTTTTAAATATTTGTACATTTGGTTCTGTCATTGAAAATCATGTTTAATGTAGAGAAAGAAATGTCTGCATTTGTTGCTTCTTAATAAACTGTCTCAGATTTCTTAATGTTGGCAAGCTCTTGATTCTACATGCATCATCTCTTGTTTCCTTGACCTCCTGAGTCCTAAATTCTGCCTAAGTAGAAATTCTTTATGATCTCACCTTCACTTACATCAGGTGAAGATTCAAAGGGAAGGACTGGCACACACCCTAAAGTAGCCAGAGAGCCTTCAGCAGGAAGTAGTGTCTTCTGGCGTCCTGATTTTCACAATGGGGAAAGGGCATAAAGACAAGCTTACTGTCTGCATGTAGCAAGATGGCTTGTGAGTACTTAGAAAAGGAGAAAATCACTGGTAACCCACTTTGACTCATCAAGCACTAACCTAGTTCTTCTTTTGATTGTGCTGTTACGTCGCTAGGTCAGGTGAATGGTATAGATAGATAATCAGTTCCTGCAAGGGTTTCCCAACAGCCTCATGGATAATTAAAGTACGCCTTGACAGTATAGGTAGTACATGGACACCTACTCAGATACGTAAACAAATTTTTGTTTAATGAATTGTTGTAATTTTGGTCTTACTCAACTTTATTTTTTAACTTGGGGATTTGGATGAAGGCATCACAAAGATCAGATTTGAGAATGGAACAACCCAACACTAATATAATATAGATGACAGTCACAACTCAAAACAGTTCCAGAGTGGCACCCGCAAGATAAAATTAAACATTATAAATGTAACATCTTCATTTTAATTAAATAGGTTGTATAAGTTTGAGGTGGAGAAACCTGGCATATCATTTCATATAAAACAGACAGGGATTTCAGTTGGCCACAGGCTCAACATGCACCAATAATGTGATAACACTGATAAATAAAAAATTAGTGGTGTTTCCGATTTCATCAATGGAAGTATCACAGCCACACTCAGAATACCTCAGTGCAAGTGCTGTGTTTCATCATTGGTACCACATTTAAGGAGGACATTGACCACTAAGTATGTATCCAGAGGAAGGGACCAGGATGGTGAGGAGTCCAGAACCCTATACCCCACAGGGAATACCTGAAGGAACTAGGGGTATTTAGCTGGAGGGGAACATTTGGAGAGAGCAAGATTCCTGCCCTTCAGAAGTTGAAGTCCTCTCATGCAGAAGGAGCTTCCTTATGCTGCAGAGCTGGGAGCAATGGGTAAAAAGAAATGCAGAAACCCATCCCCCTACCCCCTTCCCCTCTAAAAACCTCAGTTTTTGTTTCTCAGAGTTGATAGTCTCTCATGGTTCATCTCTCCCTCTGATGTCCGCCGCCTTCATTTTTCCCTTCCTTCTCCCAATGTCCTCCATGCTATTCCTTATGTTCCACAAATAAGTGAAACCATATGATAATTGACTTTCTCTGCTTGGCTTAGACTGGGTGTTATACGAAAACAATGAATCGTGGATCACCACATCAAAAACTAATGATGTATGGTGACTACCATATTAAAAAAAAAAAAAAAAGAAATGCAGAAAGCTGGTTTTTCGTTTTGTAGAAGGCAAGAGTTGGATCAAAACAAACACCCACTAGGCTGTGGTGAAGACAGTGACAAAGTGGAGAGCAGGTGTCCCAGCTAAGGGGTTAAACCATTGCTGAACTCTGGCCTGTTGCAGCTGTATAGTTCCAGAGTTGTCAGATCTGATTTTTTAAAGAAACAAAACATCTAGATTTTTATGTGAAAGCTCTCAACGGTTGGCAACTAATTTCAGGTTTTTTAGAACATGACGCAGGCTGAACACATCTGAGAGCCATAAATGGCCTAAGGTTTGCCCATCTACAATCTCAATTAGATGATCTCAGTTCCCTTTCAACTCCAATATTCTGTGAGTTTCATTGTGACCTATAGTTACTATGCTCAAGTGGTTCTTAGCAAAACAGAAGTAGTTTGTCTTTGATTTTTTTAAAAAATCCCAGACCCCGGGGCTTATGCTATTGTTAGAAGTAGCTTCTAACTTTTTTCACATTAACATTTTTGAAAATCTTAAAACCCAAGCCTCACCCAAGACCAATTAAATCATGATGTCTGGAAGCAGTAATAGACGTATTTTAAGTTCCCCAGGTCATTTCAGTGTGCAGGCAATTGGGCACCACTGGCCTAGGCCTTTACAGCCTAGCCACCTTAGAAAGTTTTGACCAGCTTATTGCCATCCCCTCCAAATTTCTACCCACCCCCATCTCATTTAATCTGATCCTATTAGTGTGCTCATGGGTTATCACCTCTTCTAGATAGAATTCTTTAAAGAAAGGAAACTGGTCACTGGGGCAGGTTCCTATCCATCATCTCATGATCCCCAAACTGAGGTTGTCCTTAGTTAATAATTGAGTCACCAGAGAGCAGTCTGACCCAACCCCAAAAGCCATATGCTAGTGCTTCTACAGTTCCCTCCAACAAAGTGGCAAAGAACAAGTTCAAGTTCCAGATGTTTTACTTCATTTTTCTTTTATTACAGATGAGTAAGTTTGGACAAACAGATTCTGGTTGCATTTAGCTATATAACTGTATTGTGCCTATCTATGAGCTCTTGGTGAACGGAGATTATCTGAATTATTTTTATGTTTGCATTATTCCCAGCTTAGACATATACCAAATACTGCATGAATGAATGGAAAATGGACAGTTACAGATTGAGGTCCCAGACACTTCCTTCAAAATAAGTCATCATATCCCTAGAAGATTAAATGAATTTCCCTTAATATTTTCAAAAGTCTTGCCAATAACTCTGTCAGTTGTTTTTAAAACATCAAAGGAAATTAAAACACCTGGCTTTCTTATCAGTCCAGAATTTTTTGTCTTTAACTTGCACTGACAAATGTTGTCCATTGTAGAAGAGGTATTGATTAGCTACTGCCTAAAGTGATGATCATGACATTTGGATGACCAGTTGCTCTGCAGCATTCCTTCCAGTTCTGGAACGAATGGCGGGTTATGTATCAGCCTATGTAACACATATGCCGTGTCCCTGCATAAGGGACAATGCATCTCCCTCTAATATGCATTGCACTTTTGTTCAACACTGATTTAACAGTACTTAACAGAACTTTGACAACTATTGAGCAAAATTATTTAATGTGAAGCATTAGAAAAACCTACAGTCTTAGCAACCCCCCGAAGTGATGCAATATAGGCAGCCTTTGGTTTTTTAAAGCAAGAAGGGAGTGTCTGGCTGTGGGTCATGATAGGTGCCTCTCAACACTGTGGAGTTCATTGTTGAAGGCTGAAGTAATGGAGGAGACAAGGCATACACTTCAGGGCTCCCACAAAAGAGGAATTGTGGAGTGAGAATTTCAAACACAACATAATGACGGCAATACCAAAAATCAGAGTATTTGTCTGGGATCCTTATGCAGGGAAAGATTTGTGAAGCTAATAAGGTACAGAGCCTTCACCACTAGCAATTTTAACAGGCCAAACTCGGGCACGTCCTCTGCAGGACGGGCTCCTCAGGAAGCATCAGGGCTACCTAAATACTGGAGAAGCAGAGTGGTAGGCCACCAGGGGGCGCTGTGAGCAGCACTACTTAAAAGGAGAGGCTCAGGAGCAGACGTGTCCTCAGGCTTGCCTGAAACCATACATGCATGGCTATAAACATCCTTGACTTAGAAAGGTTTTTCAACTTTGGGTTTTCTAAAAATGGCAGGCCACGACTGAATACACTTTAAAAAGCCCTTAAAGTATGAGTAATGACTCAATTTTACAAATAAAAGGATTTTCTTAGTGCTCAGACTTCCAGAGAAACAAAATGGTCAACAGATGTTGACCTTCTCTGTCCCTCTAATAATGGCACTGACAAACTGGAAATAATGAATTAGAGTAAATGGAAAACACTTACGTAATAATACAAGGGAAGTCTATTAGTATATAATAAAGGAGTCCTTGTTTTTTGACAAGTATTTTTTGTTAACACCAACCAAATCCTTGCAAGTCTGACCGAGCATGTGGCCCTAGTGGCCGGACTCTGAAACTAAGTATGACCTAAGAGGCTAATCTGGGAGAATCTGAAGTATCTGTGGCTACTTCTACCTTAATTCTTGATCCCAAATGAAGTGACATCACATACCACAGCACACAGGGAAAATAGATACTGAATGAGTATGAAAAGAAGTTTAAAGACAGCAAAAAGAAACAGCATTTTATTTCTGTAAGGGAGTCTGAGAACTGCCCAAGAATTACAGCCAAGTTCATGAATGAGGTAGATCTAACAGGCATTTACACCTTAAATAATTTCAATTATAACCATCAAATGAATTGCTTAGATGCTGTGGTTAAGAAAATTGTACAAAATTAAGCAAATTGTTTAAAGAAACATCTAAAGTTTAAAAGTATTAAAACAAATATAGGCAGGTAGAATTGACGTAGTAACAACTTGGTGCTATTTCTAACAAAGTATTTCTTTCATATTTTATTCCTAAATGTGAGCAAAGCGATCACAAATGAAGATCAGAAGCAGTTATAAAGATTGGGCATGGTTACTTGCAGTCAGCTCTATTATAAAGAATAGATTCTGTTGAAATACACATCTTGCACCAAGATTCTGTCAATGAGAATTTCATTGCAGGTGTCAAAGGTATGTATCTGTAGTACAGAGAACAGAGAAAACTGAATCCAGGAGGCCACTCACTGTGACTTTGCACATATTACCACAGCTCTCGGCCTCAATTTCATCATCCATAAAACCCAAGGGGGTTAACAGAAGACAGACCTCTAAAATCCCAGCTGTAAAAATCTCATCTTCTGAAATTTACATAGAACGATTGCTGTTGGAAACTCCATTCCCATCAACCTTAATGTCATAATGTCAGGGACAATGGATAAAGTAGGAGATGACCTCTGGCTCCCTTGGGCAACCTGGCCTTTTAAACCAAAGACCAAAATCCACTTCCTGAAACTCTATCACTTCCCTCCGTTCTCCCTCACCTTTAGTTCCTTAGGCCAATGGTTAGTCCTTTAGTCCCTTTGGAACTAGCCTCAGAGCATCTGGTCTATAGATTTATAGTTTTATGATGGGAAATGAACCAGAGAGGGCAAGTGACTTGCCTGGAATACCAGAGCTAGTCAATGATAAAGCCAGGACAAGAATCCAACTCAGCTGTTCCTGACACCAGTGTTCTTTCCCCTAAATCATACCACCCACCTGTCTTTCACTCCTGACGAAAAGCAAAACAAAAGCATGGGAATAGGGGTGGGGAGAGCATCTGTTTTGATAATACCAGTGAGAAGTGGAAGTTATTTTATTTCAAAAATGTAAATATGGATGTGAAGGCATCATGCTCCTGATTTCAAACTATATTACAAAGCTATAGTGATCAAAACAGTCTGGTACTGGCATAAAAACAGACACATAGATCAATGGAACAGAATAAAGAGCCCAGAAATAAACCCTTGCATTTATGATCAATTAATTTACAACAAAGGAGGCAAGAATACACAGTGGGGAAAGGACAGTCTCTTCAATGAATGGTGTTGGGAAAACTGAAGAGCCATATGGGAAAGAATGAAACTGGACCACTATCTTACACCATACACAAAAATTAACTCAAAATGGATTAAAGACTTGAATATGAGACCAGAAGCCATAAAACTCCTAGAAGAAAACATAGGCAATAAGTTTCCTGACATCACTCTTGGCTATATTTTCTTAGATCTGACTCCAATATCAATGGCAATAAACACCAAAATAAACAAATGAAACTATATCAAACTAAAAAGCTTCTGTACAGCAAAGGAAACCATCAACAAAATAAAAAGGCAACCTACTGAATGGGAGAAGATACTTGCAAATCATAAATATGGTAAGGGGTTAATACCCAAATTATAAAAAGAACTATAACTCAGTAATAAAACACATTCTGATTTAAAAAATGGGCAGAGGACCTGAACAGACATTTTTCCAAAGACATACAGATGGCCAACAGGTACATGAAAAGATGCTCAGCATCAGTAATTACCAGAGAAACGCAACTCAAAACCATGAGCTATATCATCTCGCATCTGTCAGGATGGCGATTATCAAAAAGATAAGAAATACCAAGTGTTGGTGAGGATGTAGAGAAAAGGGAACTACTGTGCACTATTGGTGGGAATGTAAACTGGTGCAGCCATAATGGAAAACAGTATTATGAAGGTTCCTCAAAAAACGAAAAATGGAACTACCATGTGATCCAGCAAGTCTACTTCCAGGTATTTATCTGAAGAAAATGAAAGCACTAATTCAAAAAGGTATATGCACCCACATGTTCACTGCAGCATTACTCACAATAGCCAAGATAAGGAAACAACCAAAGTGTCCACTGATGGATGAGTGGATAAAGAAGATGTATACAACTCCCCTCCACACACACACAAAGGAATACTACCTCAGCCATAAAAAAGAATGAAATCTTGCCATTTGTGACATGGATGGACCCTGTGGGTATTATGGCTAAGTGAAATAAGTCAGAGAAAGACAAATACCATATGGTTTCACTTACATGTAGAATCTAAAACACAAAAGAAGAAACAACAAAACTCATAGATGCAGAGAACAGACTGGTGGTTGCCAGAGCGGGGGAGCAGGGAGGGTGGGCAAGACAAAGAAGGGGGTCATAAAATAAATAAGTCATATCATGGGATGTAATGTTCAGCATGGTGACTAGAATCAATAACACCAAGTTGCATGTTAGTTAACTTTATATGGTGACGGGGGAAACTAGACTCATTGTGGTGATCATTTTGTAGTGTAGACAAATATCAAGTCATTGTGTTGTACACCTGAAGCTAATACGATGTTTTGTGTCAACTATACAACAACAAATATAGATGTGATACTAAATGTTAATACCTGAAAAGATTAGCTTAGTAAGTGCATGACAGACTCAATCAACCACATTTTAATAATCACTGCCCAAGGCCTTTGAAGTTAAAAAAAAAAGCTGTCAGGCTGAGGGAAGGCAGAATGCTTTGGATAACATGAAAGATTAAGACAAGGTTGTTAGAAAGTGACTAAATTCCCTACACCAAGGAAAATCAATCCAAGGAGCTAATGTACAGAGATGAAGATGGCATGATTTTGCCTAGAGTTAAATGCAACTTAAATCAACATAATGCCATATACGTGGGTACGATACATATTTTCATTACGTCCTAGTGACAAGAATTCAGAGAAAAGTGATGGGTTGTGCCATCGTAAGACTAATAAAGCATCACATCCTATCAGCCACTGACTCTGATTTTGACATTTGTGGCCTGTCTCGCTAATGATAAAAGTACTAAAACCATTCACATTCATTTTGCTATTATCAAGAAGACTGGCTGGTAAGATTCAAAGGAACTGCTGGGATGTGAATTTAAATGAAATCATAATTATCTTCACAGGGAAACCACTGAAAATGCAGAAATACAAACACAGATCTTTAAAAAATCTTAAAAAATCTTTAAAGAGGGTTAAAGACAAGATTGAGTCCATTCGCAAGACGATTATGAGAAAGCAATATAAGTAATTGGCCTTCAAAGAATAAATGGCTCCTGTCTCTAGCTAATGAGATTTCATTTAAAACTGTTAACTGGGAGCAATGAAAGAAGCACAGAAACCAATACCGACAGCAAATACTCAGTTTTTCTGAGGAGTATGATAAAAATTTGTCCTTCTTACATTTATACCATGGAACTCTGAAAAGTCATATAGTAACAAAGACAAGCCTAGATCCTATAATATTAAAATAATAAACAGGATATAATACACTAAACAAAAACTCAAGAACTAATTAAAATAAATTAAGAATAAGAAATACATTTACATTGAAAAAATGATAAGCATAGGATATCCTGAGTTTCTCAATTATAAAAAGAACACAAAAAAGTAATATCCATCTGAAAGGCTGTCATGATTAAATAATATACATAAAATTCTTAAGAGTGTATGGTACACAGTAAATGCTTAACAAATGGCAGCTATCATTATTATAACCAGGAAGAATAACAACTTCATTAATAAGAGCTTTCAAACTGGATTCATCACCACCTCCTCCCTGCTTCAGCTTCATTTCGAGCACACGAATGTGATCACTAATAGCCAATTAGGTAGTTTTTGACCAGATCACTGACCAGATCTCACAAGAAAACCAAAAATAGTATTTGGAAACCAAGGTGAGGGAAAAAGAAAGAGTACCTGAGGAGGCACTGGCTAGCAAAAAACATATTCTGACATTATTTATAAGCAGCACTCATATGACGAAGGTTCACTCACAGTGATACAAAGGTAAGAAGTCAAAGAAAACCAAGGCAATTTAGAAGTCTTAAAGATTAAAGGAAATTGCTGTGACATAAAACCCTAATGAAAAGTAAAAATATTTCCAGAGGGAGCTATAAGACCCTTTGCTAGATCATTTTTATCTAATTTGAAAACAATTTAAGACTCATATCTTTTCACCTACCAACTAAGAGTGAGTATACTTATTTTCATCTGTTCATTTCTAGGAGGATCTTGATTTTTCTGTTTTATGAAGCATTTAATTCCTTTCTGATCCCACTATGGAATTTATGTTTTAATAATTCTACTTTTTTCCCCATTAAAGTCAGCCCTAAAAATAAAGTGACAAAAAGGAAAACAAAGCTACTTCAAGTCTGGGAGCATATTCTTGGGAGGGACATTCAACGCTACATGTAGGAAAGGATAAAGCATGAGGAAGATCCCACGGGGGAAGGTGCAAGTTAAAGGCTACATGTAGGGGAGGAACAGAGCTCCTGAAGGGCAGTGGATGAAATGTAATCATAGGGCTTTTCTCTCTCATTAACGGAAATGCGCTCTACGACTGAGCAATCTCTTAACAAAGGTTCTGAAAGTTGCCAGGTGGCTTATTAACAGATTTACCTATGTATTCCTAAGCTTAGAATTTGCTTCTTTTCAGACATTCCAAGAGCCAAATTGAGAAAATTTCTATTTCTCGGGAAAACATTAATAAATAAGAGCCTGGGTTTTATTGCCTTTGCCCACTCTCCTGATACTGTTCTTTCCTTCTTTAAAAACACCCCAAATATATCCCTTCCCAAACTATGCATTAAACTATGTATTGATCTTAGTGAAATAAAGGAACTCTTTTTATGTTTTCCTGTAAAGGGGTTCATAAAAATAGGCCTAGAGACAGTGACTTAAAACCAGACAAATCCAGATCTCCAATCCCATCAGCTTCTCCATCCTACAAACACACTTAAGGCTCAAAAAGAAAAATTAATGCCCAAACAGCTGGTGAAGCACATAGACACAGAAACATTTTCTATCCTGGTCATACCAGGTATTACATAAGATACTGTCAAAGTCTTCAACTGACCATTCACTTAGAAGGGATTCTAACCTTTTAAAATCACATGCTAATTAATTAACATCAGCAACATTATGTCAGGGATCTTGGACCACACTCATAATGACTTATTTGTCAAGTAAGCAAAGAAACTATGTTATTTTGTTTGTCTGGAAGTTCATATCTGTTCCACTGAAATGCAAATATCTTGGATCCCTACTAAAGGGTGTGGATGTCCACATATATGATATCTCTGTTACAGAGAAAGAAGGGGCTGCTGCACTTGCTGGAATGTCTTCGGCTTTGTTATCAGATGCTCCAGTTTGGTTATAACCAGGCTTCCAGTTTGCCCAATGCCAAACTTCATGCTTTAGCAAGGGGAGAAAAATCTAGATGCCAGGAACACACCAGACCTTTCGGATAAAGGGGTAGGAGCATGCTTCAACTGGACTACGGTTGGTCCTCTTTGTTAGCACCAAACTCTCATTATTTAGTTCTTCACAGACTAAATTACAGCTTCTCTCAGAGAAGAGGACCTAGATATTGAAAAGGAATTAAAGTAGATATTAAGGTAGAAATTCCAAGGCCAAAGATCCCAAGGTCAGGCAAAGCAGCATCTGAGGCCAGTACAAGAAAGTGGTGGAACTCAGTGGGCAGCAACTCTGGGGTATTCAAGCTTCCCAAGTCCTTGTCCGGCCTCACGGCCCTACCTGTACCCCAATCATGGGCACCACCTCCTCAATCCACAGCAAGTCCAGTGGAGCCGAGGTTCGAGTTTGTCGGTGGTGAATTCGGCGTAGCCGCAGAAGGTACAGGATGATGGCCAGCAGCACCACCAGGATACAGGCGAAGAAGAGATAGTGGTTGTAGACAAAGGAGAGGCGGAACCAGCTACCATGGGCCTGCCGAACACCTTCTTGCCGCAGATCCCTAGGAAGAGTTGGAAGGTGGAAAGTCATGTTAATTTCAAAGAGAAACAGTTATGATTTAAAAGGCCAGCAGTGTTATCTCATTTATTCTATTCATGCAAATATGCTAGGATACCAGCTCCACAGGGCAAGCAAAGCTAAAGAATGTCTCCAGCCCGAGGGCCGCTATGTGATTTCTCCTGTACTTTCTTTGCCAGGGCCTACAGAGGGAGGCTCACAGGCCTACATCCTCCAGGATCTGGGGACAAAATTAGAAGGCAAAAAAATGAACAGTAAGATAAGACTGATCGTCTATAACCTTAGTCTTAACACTGACCCCATACCATTCTGTAAATACATACATCCAGTCTGTAAATACGGTACTAACAAGAATAGGGTGGCCCCTAAATCCAATCAAGACATCAGAGTGTATCCAAATCTTTGAAAAAAAAATTGACTGTACTTCCTGAGGATTTAGGCTATATCTAGAGAAAGTTATCACCTAGTCAGTAGTACTGTAGTCTGGAAAAAAGTAAGGAGACCTGTAAGCCAAAGTGCAGCAGCCTGCGTGCATAGAATGAAGCTGCTCTTTGGTCCAGACACCAGATCCATTTCTGTTTGTTTGACCTGCAGTGTTTTCTTAAAATGTGAATCTCCAAACTGAACGCCTGCCTATGACATATGGACTTCTGGCTTGTCCTGACAAATGAGAACTGGCAGATGGTGGTACAGCATTTCTGCACGGCAGTCCTCAGCCCTTCATCCGGAGTGCATACTCTCTATCTCCCCACTTCTCTCACCTCTCTCCGCTGCCTGCCTTCTGAGGTTAGAGAAACAGGCAACAAAGATTAAAAATTCATTTTAGTTTATCTGAAACAATCCAGGGGAGAGAGAACCTAAAACTATCCCAAATATCTTATGGCACATAGAGCAAGACATCAGGCTATCACAGCTTGATGACAATACCCAAGGGCATCTCATGTGCTGTGTTCTGATTCTGGCCCACCAAAAAGCCTTCTAAATCAATGACATACTCTCTAGAGTGATTCTAGCCATTAGGAAAGACTGCTCTATACACACAGCTACCCCAGTTCTCTAGTCCGACGTTTTCTACAGTAACCGAAGAATGGCATTTTAGTTTTATTTTAGTTTACCACTCAGTATCTTAGAACCGGTTAAGTAACAGCTCAATCCTTTTTTTTTTTTTTTTTTAAGATTTTATTTATTTATTTGTCAGAGAGACAGAACACAAGCAGGGGGAGAGGCAGGCAGAGGGAGAAGCAGGCTCCCCGCCGAGCAAGGAGCCCGATGTGGGACTCGATCCCAGGACCCTGGGATCATGACCTGAGCCGAAGGCAGCCGCTCAACCGACTGAGCCACCCAGGTGTCCCGAACTGGTTAAGTAACAGCTCAATCCTAAAGACTGATTTATTACGGATAAACAAATAAAACTGAATTCCTGAGATTGCAAAGCTAAAGAAGAGACACCGGATTATATTCTCAACCTTCTTTCTGTTTCAACATGCTTGGGTAGTAATAATAGTTCATGGGGTAGTAATAAAGGGAGTTAGTTCGGATGCTTTTTTGAGGGAGAAAGGTCACTTACGAAACCTATTCTGAGACACCAACCAACGCCCTCTGATCTCAAGATGCCAGTTCAGTCCACTTTACCTGAGTGGTAAGAATCGTGTTTTATACAGAATGGCTCCCAGTGTCCACTGAACCTCTCGGTCATATACCAGCTGGGCTGTCTGCAGGTGCGGGTAGTCATAGGGAAAGTGGAATCCTTCATGAAGAACTTGGTACATCCAAGCCGATTTAAAACACTGATATCTGTGTGACAAAATAATATTTTTTTGAAGAAGAAGGAGGAAAAAAAGAGAATTCTAATGTTTTCTATATACTCCCACTGGATGTCAAAAAAGACCGGTCTCTCTCTACTTCACCTTCCTCGCCTCTAGGTGGAGCCAAACCTGAGCCTACTTTATCTTGTTTACCACAAAAGTGAGGACTGCCTTTTCGCAGTAATGATATTGTGACTGTGTTTTCTTTTTCTTTTTCTTCTTTTTTAGAGAGTGAGAGAGGGCAGAGGAGAGGCAGATGGAGAAGAAGAGAGAGAATCTCAAGCCGGCTCCATGCCCAGTGCAGAGCCCAATATGGGGCTCAATCTCACAACCCTGAAATCACAACCTGAGCCAAGATCAAGAGTCGGACACTCAACCAAGTGAGCCACTCAGGTGCCCCCTTTTTCTTTTTCTGAGTCCTTATCTTCAAGGAGCCTGCTGAAGTATCTACAAGTCTACTTACATGATGTCTGGGATTTGCTTCAAAATAACCCAGCTGCGGTAAAGAGGGCAGAAGGGTGGGAAAATGGATGCAACAAGATTGGGCAGAAGCTGATAGCCACTGGTAGAGAAACAGGGTGACAGGCATCCGGGAGTTCATGATACTCTTCTATTTTTGTTTATGTTTAAGATATTTTACAAATGTTTACAAAAATGGGAGGACTGACAAACCAAACTGGCAAAATATTGGCATTTCTTGAGGCTGGGTGAGGTTTATGTTACTTTTCTTTCTACCTTTCTGCATGTTCCATATTTTAATTTAAAAAACCCACCACTTTTGATTTCAAGCCACTCAGAGAGAACCTTGCGGTGACCCTGGTTTTCGTTGACTTCGCTAAACTAGGCTCACTATTTTAGCCCCTATTGCTCAGAAAACCAAAATCAAAAATAATCAAATTCTCCTTCAGCATAAAATCACATCTGTGCTCTTACTTGCTCTCTCTCCCTCATTGTAATATGCCATCTACATTTTCAGGCCAAATCTAAGGGAGAAAAGGAAGCTACTTACTTGAGTCGATGCTCATCTGCATGTGATGAAAAGAGGCCATTCTTGAATCTCTGAGTTAGTACTGACCAGGCCATGCCACAGTAATCCTGGAACAAGTGCACAGAAATGCTGCAACGTGAAATTAAAGCCAAACCCTGTAACCTCCCTACAGTCAGAGCTGCTCCATGTCTGAAGTTACTCATGGGCTACTAGTTGACAAAGGAAAACAGAAACGCCCCCTTCATTCACTGGACACCGTGCAACACAAGTGTCAAATGCAGATGCAGGCTGCTGCGGGTCTCCTTTTTATTCCCATCACCTCAAGTCCAATACAAAGCCAGCCCAACATGGCTCCTGAGCCTCTTCAGCTTCAGACAGGGATAAGGTTAGGACCAGGAAGAGCAACATCAAAGCCAAAGGGAGCCTCATTCTGCTCTACGTCAGACTAACACGAGCAGGTAAAGTAGCTGGTACAGAATGGTCAAAATTATACCACTGGCCTGTCTCAATGTTGTAGTTCTCCCCAAAGGAATCATTCCTTTTGGTTTGATCAGTTAACTTGTATTTCTTGAATGTCTACTTTGTGGCAGGTGCTATTCTAGGTGCCAGGGAGATTTAGCAGTGAACAAAACAGACAAAACTTTCTGTCCTCATGAAGCTCTCACATTCTAGTGGTAAGAGACAGACAGTAACCAAATACATATATATGCATGCATACATACAACATGCACATACCTATGTACATATACACATACATATAGAGTGTGTTAGATGACATAAATGCTCACAGGAAAATTAAAACAGGAAAGGGAAACAGGTAATATTGGGAAGGGCTGCAGTTACGGATATGGTTGCTAGGGAAGGTATAACTGGGAAAGTAACAGTTGAGTCAAAGTAAAAAAAAGAGAGAACAAAATTATCTCTTTTACCTGGGAAAGAGAACATATTAAGCCACTAGCAACTTGGGCAAGCAATAACTTGAGCCCTTTGGTGTTCAAGGGAATAGAATCTGAAGAAGTTTTAAAATGAGAGAAAGATGCGGGCCATGGACATTTAGAGAGCCCTGGATGCTGGAAAGGAAAAGGAATATGAGTGTATTCCTGGAGGCTGGAGAAGAACAAATACAAACCAGGTTTTCCTCAATATTTCTCTTTTTTTTTTAAAGATTTTATTTACTTA